TTCATTTAATCTCTCTTACAACCCTACCAGGAATCCACGTATCACCCTCATATTGAAGAAGAGAAAATCGATGTTCAGAAATATTAATTAAACTTGTCTAATAGCATATATTCAGTAAGTGGAAATGTCCAGATTCCATTCCAATTAAGTTTGACTTCAAAGTGTGAATTCTTAACCAAACCAATGACTAAACATGTTATCAGTTTGAGGGTTGAGATTTGATATATTGGTTCAACTAAACTATTAGAACCTAGTCTTACGGACCAAGCACAGGGTTAACTTCTGGGATACAGTGGAGATCAAGATACTATCCTTGTCACCAAGCAACTTTCTATCTAGTAGAAAAGAAAGACAGGAAGCAAAGAACTCTATAATAACATAGTAAATAGCACAATAAAACAAAGTGCAGACTGCTACATACAAAGAAGTGCCTCAAACACAGGAATGTATTTGAGTGGTTTTATACTTTTTAGTGTTCCCGAGTCTGTTCAAACTCATAGTGACCCTATATAGGATTTCCAAGGAGTGGCTGGTAGTTTTGAACCACTGACTCTGTGGTTCAAGTCGACCTTTAGGCCCAGTGCTTTTCCTACAGCACCACACCAGGATTTCATTAAAGAGACATAAGGGTATATATAAGGAGACTTAAAGGATTCATGGAAAAATGGAATTTTAACGAGATTTTTGGAGTCTGCGTATATAGGTGAAATAACGATGATAATGGCAATATATGCTGCAAAAGACCTATTTAAAGTGTTCAAGAGTGAAGATGTCATTTTGAGGATTAAGTTGTGTCTGACCCAAGCCACCATAATTTCAATCACCACATATGCATGTTTAAGTTGGACAATGAATAAGGAAATCTTAGAAGAATCGATGCATTTGAAATATGGTGTTGGAAAAGAATATGGGAAATACCATGGACTGCCAGAAAAACAAACAAATTTGTGTTGAAAGTAAAGCTAGGATGGAGAAACTTTACAAGACATTGTCTCTCTTACTTTGAACATAGTATCAGAAGGGACTAACACCTGGTGAAGGACAATATGCTTGGAAAAGTGGAGGGACAGCGAAAAAGAGGAAGAACCCCAACAAAATGGACTGACATGGTGGCAGTAATAATGGGCTCAATCATAACAACAACTATGAGAATGACAGTGGCAATAATAGTGGGCTCAAACATAAAAACAATTGTGACAATGATGCAGGACAAGGCACTGTTTCATTCTGTTGTGAATGAGGTCACTGTGAGTTAGAACCAACTTAATGGTACCTAACAACAACAATATTTAATTGTTTTATTGTTAGATTAATAAAAGTCATCAACTTTGTTTATTAGACTTGAGTTTAATCAAAAGTTCACCTTGCACAAATGTAATTATAAATAGGGGGAAAAGGGAAGAAAACTAATGGAAGTGATTTCAGAATCTTAATTTTTCTAACTATAACACAGTATGACTAGCAGTAACTATTCTCTCTGGCAAAATATGGTGGACAGAACTTTCACTGACCCTGGCCTAGCGAGGGCAAAAGGTACATTGCAGTTCTAACTCATGTGTTGATCTTTGGCCAACAAAAATGAAAATTCCATCTAAGTCCTTCTTCCAGGTGAAATTCTAAAGAAACTCATGCACATGTACATCAGGAGGCATGTTTGTGAATGAATATAGAAGTCTAGTTTGTAAAAGCAGAAAAGATAAACCTACATTGACAGGAGAATGGATAAGTTATGGCACATTAATTCAATAAAATATAATTCAGAAATGAAAAGGAATGGATTATAGCTATATATGGGTTAATCATAAAAGTTATTGCTGCTGAAAGACACATAAAATAATGGTATGCATAGAGTATAATTTCATTACATAAAGTTCAGAAAGAAGAAAAAGCAAACAATCTGTTATTTGAAAATATGTATGTAATTGTTATTAGGTGCCATCGAGTTAGCTCCAACTCAGAGTGACCCTATGCACAATATGACAAACTGATAGTTGAGTAGCCCGTCAAAAATCCTTACCACTGGCCCAATAAAAAGTTTGAAGTTGTCAAAGAATCCCTTTTGCTAGGATCCACCATCAACACTCATGGAATTATCAGTAAAGAAATCAAATGACATACTGCATTAGGCAACTCTGATTCACAAGAAATCTTTATATTGTTGAAGAACGAAGATGTCATTTTGAGGACTAAGGTGCACCTTAGTCAATAAGGAATACTGTAGAAGAATTGATGCATTTGAGTTATCATGTTAGAGGAGAATAATAAAAGCACCATGGATTGCCAATAGAAAAAAACAATCTGTTTTGGAAGAAGTATAGTCAGAATGCTCCTTGGAAATCAGGATGACCATACTTTATCTCTCCTACTTAGGAGATATTATCAGGAGTTTCTAGTCCCTGGAGAAGGATATCATGGTTGGAAAAGTGGAGAATCGGAGAAAAAGAGGAAGACCCCCATGAGATGGATTAGCACAATGGTGGCAAAGACTGTGAAGTTGGT